TTGTGAAATAACCATTGAACAGAAAATAAATTGAACATCAAACAACTACATACAACTAACATTCACTAAAAGTTATTAAACTGAATTCATGAAAATGTGTTAAGATTAACTGAAAGAAAATCACTACAAGTCAATGTACTATATAAAGATAGATTTTCTTTCACCTATATTGTATTTAGGTATACAGTGTAGTGAACGAGAACACAAGTGGAGACAATCAAATACATTTGAATACAAAATTGCAAAACATTTTAATAAATCTGAGAATCATACTGTAAATACCTAATTTGCAAAATGTCAACCAGTTGTCTCAAACTTGACTGTTCTTTTTGCAAATATCAGTCAATCGTCTTAGACTTCAATGTTCCTTCACTTCCATACCAATCGCTTTCCGTTCCTGTTCTTTCCTCCTTGATCTTCTTGACCTTCTGATGACAGATATTCTATTCCTCACTAGCGTTATATACTACTTATGTCGATATTATTGGCACACACCACAACAGTATCTTTGATACTATCCATAAAATAATCACTGCTTTCATTGAATTTTATGTATTTATAAACAGATACATTTTACAAGTCATTATTTTATTCAAACGATATGAAACTTTCAGTTTCTTTAATGAATCTAGACATTAACTTTTTGATGTAATTCATTTCAGCAGAATACAATCTATTTAATACTTTAGTCTACCATTGACCTGATCTTCCTTTTAATTTTTCCATATTTGGCAATAAATTAATGTTAACCTTTGTTTGCTACGTATTGTTTAAGTAAAACTTTTTTTACTTTCATACTTCCAACTTAAGATATTCTATATTCCCCTCGTATCAAAAGTTTTTAGAACTTGTGCCAATGACGTCTTAATCTATTTACTAGAAAATAATTCATATGTAATGGTTGTTTGAAACTTCCCGTCGATATTTATGATTGCAATTAATCAGTATCTTTCGGCATATGTGCATCCTGTCAGGATTGCCTCAATATTACCAGCAAGTCATAATTATTATAAGCAGAGATGAATGGTAGCTAGCAGTGGAATCCAGGAAGCGCGTTTCGTTCTATTTGGGACTTGTCGACTGAATGTACCTAGGAACACAGAGTTAATATTCACTCCAAGACTCAAACTCAGGATTATTCGCTTCAAACGTCACCGGTTTATTCTCTTGGCTACCGAGTCTATATAGCTACTGGCTTGTACAGTCCTAAAACTATGAAAAATTCAAAAAATACATGTGAAATAAAATGCTATCAATTTCATAAGCCAGGGGCTATCAGTATACAGTAGCGTAGTGGATAAAGTGATAGTGTTTCAAGTGAGAAATACGCGATTCGAGTCCATGAGTGAAGATTAATCCTGGATTTGTAGGTACACATAGTTGATGAGTTACAGATAGGGCGAAACGCTAGTCTTGGGTTCCATGTTAGCCATCTATTTGAGGAAATAGTTTTGTTATATATTTCATATTACTTACATATTAAAAAAGTATAATTTAAAAAACCTATTTCTGTGTGCATCTCGCATTATCTTGAAGTTGGATTTTTCAATAGAAATGAGCCATTCTCATTAAATTTACACGAATGAGAGATAAAGTGTTATATAATACTTTGGCAGCTAAATTACTGAGTAGAAAGCTTGCAGTAACTAAAGATCTGGATACTTTCACCTTATTGTTCTGTATTTTGTTACTATTGAACCGAATTCAGGACCAGTTTATTTTATATCTAACTGTGGTTCCTATAAACTAACCTGCTATCCTTATCTCATATTTGATTGTATAGATTATTTTCATAATTTGCTACTCTCCTTAGACTTATCACCTGTTTTCTAATCTTAATTATATTTTGCTGTTATACCGTTAGTTAACCTTTAACCTTTTAAATACCTGCAGATATTGAACTCAACTTGTATGCTCTTTCATGAAAAATGAACACTATTCCTTCAGTATATACATTTTTAGCTTCAGAACCTTTGTAAATAACACCTACATATCACAGTTTATCATAATCCCAGCTGTTTTGTCCAACTATTTGTCTAATATCAATGGTTGTTGTGGCTTGCGATGCTGACTGATATCGCATATCATAGTTACCAAACAAAAATCTATTATGACACGTCTACGATCTCTTCTATGGCCTAATGTCTTAGACCTAATCAATTATACGTCAAACCAACACCATTAGCCTTGAGCTTGTGTAAAAGAATCCCCTATTGGTCTGACATTCCCAAGCTTTTTCCTACTTCTGGTCTTGAATCCAAAGAGAAGCCAGCATGCAACACCATTGTTATTATATTTCAAGCAAATGTGGGTCCTCATTCAAACATACTGGACCACATCGCACCATAAAATGAAAAACTACAACCATACCCAAACAACACAAAAGTGATTGTGAATATGAAAAGCTTTAAGTAATAAACTGGGAACAATTTACGAACAGTAAGTCATATTACAATAGTTAGTTTTCTGTTGATCATTTTTAAAAAGTGGAATACCTTAGATTAATTCAATTTCTTCTATAAATTAGCATTTAAATTCTGTTGAAAATGTATTTTAGTATAAATAAAACTGAAGTCTAGTTGATTTCAATCTTTAAATTATTTAAAAATATCCATCTACTTTTTGTTATTTTCAAAATCATGAATAATTAGAAAAGGATTTCGTGAATATTGTAGTAATTTTAATAGTTGAATTCATGATTCGATTAAGACTAGACTACCATGGTATATCTGGAAGTACCGGATGGCCGTTTCGTCCTCGCATGGGAATCCTCCACAGTGTACTTTAACGATCCCACTCACGGGATCCGAACCCAGAACCTATCATGAATAATTGCTTAAGATTGGATCGTAGGCTGAGATTTGAAATATAGCAACAATTTCATGTTTTTGTCAACGCATCAGTGAGCAGTTTAAGAAAAAAAGAAGAGGAGATAATTTCACTCCAATGAGAGAGTTAACGATGCTATATTATGTATAGAAAATCACTGGTTAAACTACATTTCAATATATCCACAAACTACAGTAACATTATACTGTAATATGAAGGCATTTAAAATCTATTCTGTTATGTATGTCACGGTCATATCTGCGAAATGGTTATCTGACTTGTTTCTGATACTGAAGCTTCGAATCTAACGTCACGTAGTATTGAATTGATAAATCAATAACTTAGATGTACGGTATTTTTCTAGACAACCGTTACATGTTTCTGTAACAACAAGTACTTTAATGAGCGAGAATACGGCTGGATACAACCAGTTTGTTTAATACAAAATTACAAGATATCTTCGTAAAATATGAGAGCCATACATTAAATACTTCATTTACAAATCTTCCACCAATTGTCTTTCACATTCTGTATTGTTCTTCCATTTCGCAATCCCTTTCTATTTCCCTTTTTGTTTTCTTCACTTCAATCTTCTTTGCCTTCTGGCACCAAGTTTTCCACTTCCGATTGATGTTGCATATTACTTATGTTTGTCGACATAAGTAACACACATCACAATACTATTTAGATTGTCCAACTAATTATTTCTAGGTCAAATTCACCAAAACTTATAACGTTCAATCCATCTTCAAAGATTTGAGTTTTTAGAAAAAAGAAAATATTTTTCAGCCTATTTTCATCTTTGACTCAAAAAATGTCGCAATAAACAACTTTAAATGACGAAGATCATTAGAACTAAGTGAAATATTAGAGCAATACTTTTCGAACAATCTTATCATACAGTTACTTGTTCAGAATTTAAAAATAAAAGGTCGAATGAACTAAAAATGGAGGGTAAAAAGAAATCAAGATAATAAAGTATATCATATGAAAAACAGTATAAAACTCACCATACTGAATGATAAATTAATATTACCAGAGTAAGTTCAAAATGAGAATTAAATTTTTTATATACAATAAAGAGGTTAACGTATCACATAGTTCTGCATAATCCTCATCTTTTTATTACACTATTAAAATTGTAGGTGGTTATCAGGACTTTGTAGCTAAGTGGATATCGCGATGGTGTTTGGAGCTGAATGGCACTGGGTTCGAGTCCTGGAGTGAACATCCACTCGGGGATGCAGGTACATCCAGCTGACGAGTCTCACGTAGGACGAAATGCACGTCTTGAATTCCACTGCTAGCCACTATCCATCTTTGCTTAAAAAGCTTGTGACTTAAAGCTATATCGACGCAATCCTCACAGAATGCACATATACCAATAAGAGACTGATCAATTACAGTCCTAAATAACAATGGGAAGATACAAGTAAAACAACACCAAGTGAATTTCAACGGTTTTTATATAGAATAAAGAGGCTAATATATCACATAGTTCCATATAATCTTCATCTTCTTATTACACTATCAAAATTTATCAAAAGGATTAATTATTTCAAATTTTAAATGAACTTTTCGTTATCAAACAACAACAATCAACATATGCTCACTAGTGACTGGCTTCACGAGTTATATCCTGAAGTTCTAGTGAGAAGTAGTGACCAGTGGAGTTCAACCAGGTCTGTTGTGAGATAGTAACTCACTGAAGACACTGGTGGATTAGTTAAAGTTAGGCATTGACACCATTGGATGCCGGTTCAGTGGTCTAGTGGTTAAGTGCTCGCGCGCGAAACCAGTAGGTCCTGTGTTCGAATCTCGCTGGGGGCGAGGTCGTGGATGCGCACTGCTGAGGAGCCCCACAATAGGACGAAACGGCCGTTCAGTGCTTCCAGGTTTTCCATAGTGATCTAGCTTCAAATGACTCATGATGTTAACCATTGAAATTACTTTAATATCCACAAAACCCATCTGATATTAAATAAAAACATTGTTTCGGTACCTCATCACAGAATCTATTATTATTATTATTACTATAATACATAGAGTACATTGAATATGGAACAAAGTATAATTATGTAATTTATATTAATTATAAAAATCATTAAATTAAAGTCTTATCTTAATCAATTCAAGTACATTATCAATAGAACTATCATGATTAAAACACTTGGAAATTGTTTTTGTTTTTATTTTTAAGTTTTTCATCTATTTTTTTCATAGTCGATTCAAAGGTCGTCATAATTATTACTATATCAAACTTCAAATTTGTATACAATGAACAGTTAACAACTACTGTGGACTTTTACAAAATGGTAAGCTAACTGAGAGGATTTGAATGTTATGAAGTATTTGTACATTTTAATTGTTGATTCACATATGAATCATAGTTGATTTATTCACTCATTTATAATTGATCATTTCAAGTAAAATGTTCTATCTATTTTGAAGCTTATTTATTATGAACAATCAGAATTAAGATAAAGTTAATCAAAATCATGAACATATCTAAGTTAAACTTACTTACGTCTGTTACTCCTCGTGAAGGAGCATAAGCTACTAGCTCACCAGCATTCTCCATCCAACCCTGTCCTGGTCAATCCTGTCTAGTTCTTTCCAGTTGTTATTTAACTTTTTTCATATCTGATTCTATTTCCCGACATAATGTGTTATTTGGCTCTCCTCTTTTCCGCTTCCCCCTAAGGATTCCAAGTTAAGGCTTGCCTCGTGGTGCAGTTTGATGATTTGCGTAATGTCTGTCCTATCCATTTCCATCGTCTTTTCCTAATTTCCTCTCCAGCTGGAAGCTGGTTTGTTCTTTCCCACAGTAGGCTGTTACTGATGATATCCGACAAATCGGTGTTGAATATCTTGTGTAGACAATTATTTATAAATACTTGTACCTTTTTGATGATGGTTGTAGTAGTTGTCCAAGTTTCATCTCCGTACAGTAGAACTCCCTTGACGTTGGTATTGAAGATTCTCACTTTGATATTGGTTGAAAGTTGTTTCGAATTCCATATGTTCTTCAATTGTAGGAACCTAAGTTTAACAATCATTGTAAATCTGAGAGTAGTGGACAACCTTTTTGGCATAGTATGGGAATCCGGAACAGTACATATTCACAAACCCGCCACTTCAGAAACACTTAAACTCTGGACTATTGAGTTCGGCTCTAATGGTATATATATCCAACTTTAGTCATTCTACGATACTAGCAAACCATGATTCATTGAATATAGTGGACACCCTTCTAGGGTCAACCCTCGATGGTGAGGTCGTGGATATACAAATGAAGAGTCTCAAACTCGGGAGAAACAACTGTCTAAGGCTTCCAGGTTTTCACTAGTTTTCTAACTTAGGTCGGTTTGCAATCTCGATAACAGTCAACAATCTCCACAACCCCCATACATATGTATAATCAATTAACAGAGAATGAGTCATATGATACAAAGTATCTAACTCATATTATCCACTGAACTTCATTATTCTGTATAAATCTACCATACATAACCCAATAAATGACCAGTTGCTTTTTTTAAACTATACATTTCATATTCAGAAATAATTAATTAAACTTCCTTTAGCATCTTGAAAAGTGTTATAAACTAATATTAAAATTTTAAAATAATATAAAACATCTTATCAATGTTTGCTTGATAATTAGCTTTTAATATAATTTAATGAAAGAGTTCTTCTCTTAACAAGTTCACTCATAAATTCATCTGTAATCAAGAACATCTTTTATATTAGTATAAAGGGATCGGTAAAGATGATAGAATTCTGATCGTCTAAGTAACTAGCTAATTTTAGCTAGACTACTCTTAGAAACCTGGAAGAATTGCACTTCTGTTTCATTTGAGTATAAGGTTACTCAAGAGTGCATATCCACAACTTCATCATAAGGAGTCGAACCCACAACTTTCAATTTCACACACGTATGATTAACCTTTAAACCATTAAGCGGGCATCCAACGGTGTACATGCCTAAATCCAATCAATTTGCAATATTTCACAAGCTTCATTCATTACCTACTGTAAATAACTGTCTCACACTTGATATTTCTTATATGCTTGTCAAAATACCAGATACGTATAGTTACAAATAAACAATTGATTACATAATTTCACCATGTAAATAAATAACAAACGAAAAGATTATATCATAAGGGTTTTCGTGAATATTATAGTAATTTCAATGGTTGAGATCATAAATCAATTGAAGCTAGATCAGCATGGAAAACCTGGAAGCACGAAACGGCCATGCTGATCTAGCTTCAAATGACTCATGATTATGTATTAAAATATAAAAGATAAATTTGATCACGGTCTTACTTTGCCTACATTATGAAGGGAACTGTAGTTCAATAAGATTTCAAAGAACTTCAGTTAACAATCTTTATGATGTAGATCAAATAAAGATTCCACATATATCGTATATACTCCGTTGACAAATCTCTTTAATAACAGTATAGACAAAAACAAAGTCGAATAGGAGTGTTTCGGTTGTCCATACTTCATACATTCTCCTCGATAAGGATTGGAGAAGTTAGCTCTACCCACTAAAAATATTATTCATAACAAGTTATAATCTAATCCGAAATAAATAATACATGGGGCAACAAAGAGACAGACATTGGATAAAAACAATAAGTGTATAAGCAAAAACACACGGAAGCATATATGGGATGTATTAGCGTAAGATTACAAGAACACGAATATAAGAGGTATATACACTGAAGTTCACAATATTCTATGGATAGGATAAAATTACAAGGATGGTAGAATTGACACAGTAGTAATACACTGAGTAATTAAAGTCTGTCCAATTGTTAAGATCAGTCACATGGGTTTATAATAGCATAGAAGCGGTTACAATATTAAGATATCGTACAAAGACAAGTGTACAAGAAAATGACTTGGTTAAATAGTATTGTAGTTTGTTATGATAAAATGTGTTTGAAATTTACCATAAGAGATAATTTTTAAGATTATCACTAGTGATTAGTCTCTAAAATTCAAGTTACTCAAACAGGATTTCCTCTGAATTCAATTACATAGTTTTTGGATGATTTAATTTCACAATCACTAATTCATTATGATCATCCATGGAATCCATGATCTATTGTGATAAACCAATGAATTTCATTTATGGTTGTGGTTTACGTTTCTACAGAGTAAAGCAAGACATCCAACTGTCTCCTCTGAAAATATGAATCCTGGACAACCGCATTCTGATGAAGCATTAGGAGAAACAACCTTATAAAATCGTCACACTTACCTCGTTCTTTGGGAACAACTAGGATTTCTTCTGGCAGCTTTACGACCAATTCTACAGCACATAATCCTTATGTGCGGTTTCCCATTCTGACATCAATGACAAAATGTTACCATCTTAACGTTTCTTACTGTATGACTGAACGATTCCAGCGATGGAAACGTTACTGGAAACAGCATGAATCTGAAGTAGTAATAGCGTGACTAGTCGGACTTATTGTTATCTAAATGTTCGTCATTACACAAATTATTGGCTTTTATATCAACATTAAAACAATAATAACCTGTAAAATCCTCTTTAGAACTGTCAATATTATTCGACGACAGGTTTGTGAAGAGCAAGGGGAAAGGTTTGAAAAAATCTACTTTAATTCATGGGATGGCAATGAAAGAAAATTTAAAGCAGAATCGGTTTAATGTTCTGGGGATAAACACTACGTTGCCAATTCATCTGAATGTAGTGTAGTCAGTGATAACGGTTACTTTGTGGTTTATTTAGTCACTCGATTGTAGATATATTGGACTAATTTATATTATGGGATTATTTGGCGATATGACTTTTGCTATGTTGTCATTTTTCCTCTATCATGACTGAGTGCGCTACACTTGACACGTCCGTAGTATGACAGAGTGATATTTTCGTTGAAGAAAACTTTATATTTTTTATGTAGTTCAGAAAAAACGACAGATGACGAAACGCTCCCTCCATCATGGATTACGTTAGTGTAAATAATAATCCCCGCTTCATTTTTGTTGACTGCCAGGTATAAGGGAAAAATTGCGAACGAGAGTGGAGTTTATCCTCACTCGTTTAATATTATTGTCAAAGTTTAGCAAGTAAAGTTTGTAACGGAGTAACTTTTTTACTAGTTATTATAGTATTTAACTTTTGACACACCCTAAAGAAATTGGCTATAACTGAAATGAATAATGAAGCCTTTCATTATTTAATCTATCTGTCAATATATCTCATGACTAAAGGTTGAATACTAACTTTTAAATGTATAGATTAACAGGTATAATAACTCGGTAACAAATAGATTGTACAGCTACGTTTTAAGGTTGATAGCTTTAAATCAGAACTTGTTACTAAGTAAATTAATTCATCACTAAATAATTTGGAAAATCATCTGAGCAAATCCCCTAGAATTTTAGTTAATCACCCAGTAGTTGAAAGTAATGTATATTCTTTTATCTGAATAATATGACAGAGTCGCGTATATTAAGGTTGGATAACTTAGGTGAAAAATATGTAGTCTTGGTGTTGAAGATATGTTTGAACACAATCCGTTAAACTTCTGAAATGTATTTAGTAAATTATTTTCTATTACTTTACAACAAATTTTCAAATTTTTTTATATACAGATAGGTAGTGGCTAGCGGTGGGATTCAAGTGGATGTACCTGCACTTGTGTTGATATTCACACCGGCACTGAAATCAGTGGCTTTTGCCTAAAACACTTAATAAGTACTCCACTTAGCTATTGACAAAACACTAGTCTTGGATCCATGTGCTAGACACTATTCATCTGTGCTTGGAAATCTATGTGACTGATGGCAATAACTCAGTAATTTGCATAGGATACACATGTGCCGAAAAGAGACCGTTCTGTTTCAGTACTTAAAACCAAAAAAGGGACGTTTTAGGCCTTCAGAAATGAATTAACTGTCTTTCGATCCTTCTGATGATATTTGTTGCGTTAAAATGCAGTTTTCAAAATGCTCAGTATATGTTGATTAAGTATTTCAATGGTATTGTTTTTCTCTAGTCTGAAAAAAACAGAAATGATCAAAAAGTTTCAATATCTTCAAGAAGTATTCAGTTCATGATAGCAATATTTGGAATATTTTCATTTACACTAGTCAACATCACAGTTATTGTGAGACAATTTCATCCAAAGTGGAAAGATTCCCCAAGTTCTATGATATTACAAACTGGAATAACTCTGTTTGGTTTCCTGATAATCATATTTCTTGTTGTAATAAGTCAATTGAATGTGAGTGACTATGTTTGTTGAATTATACATTGTACATTAACCTGATTTGTTTCTATTCAGTAACCTTCGGTGATAGATGGACCATGGATCGACTGAGGTGAGACAATGACACCGTTGGAGACCGGCTGAATGGTTTGGTCGTTAGTGGTGCTCGCGCGAGATCGAGAGTTCTGGATTTGAGTCCCATCTACAGAACCATTGGTGCACGCTCTGCTGAGGCGTTCGACGGTTGGACGAAACGGCTGTCCAGTGCTTCCGGGTTTCTAATGGTGGTTTAGGTTCGATCGATTTATGAATTCAACTATTAAATTATATTATCAGAATGGGTTTTGTGGAGATTTTAGAAATTTCACAGATTGAAATCATGAGTCAGTTGAAGCTAGACCACCATTGAAAACCTGGAAGCACTGGACGGCCGTCTCGTCCTAGTATGGGACTCCTCTCAGCATTGCGTATCCACGATCCCGCACCATGTGGGGCTCGAACCGAGGACCCACTGGCTTCGCGCGCGAGCACTCAACCACTAGACCACTGAGCCGGCATCCAACGGTGTTAATGTCTAACTTCAACCAATCCATGAAGTTGCTCCACCGTACACCATTGTCTTCAGTGAGTTCCTATCTCACAAAAGACCTGGTTGAACTCCACTGGTAATGCTATATATATATATATATATATAATCATGAAGTAGTTTCTAAATAGACTGTTAAATTATGTGAACTGAAAAACGACCAAACTGAGAGTTAATAAAATAAAATTTGATTATAATATGGCTGTTGAGTTGGATCTCTGTCGGTGGGGTTGTAAAATATGTGATCTTGAGTGATCTGACACCTAAAGGAAACTGTTATCCATAGCTTCGTAGTGTCCAATAGGGATTTAATTTAGTATCATTACTACCAGTACATTGTTTAAAAAATCTCATTCTAATAGTTGACATTAGAATTACTCAATGAATGAATCGAATGATTTGATGAACTCTTAGGAAATCATAACATTAATGAATTTAAGTCAACTTATTTGAATAAAAAGAGCTTCAAGGAATACATATGTTGCCAATGTGCTTTTTCTTTCGTTAGAAAACGTCTGAAATGTTAATAGAAGAAGAGAGTAAACATGAATCAATAGATAAAGTAAGTTTATTGATGATCGAAAGTTAAATTTGTGTGCTTTGTCATACATTCGATCACTGTTTTTAGTATCTTTACATATATGGAGTTCTAAGGTCGAATTACCTGCAAAATTGTGTGCAAATTATGGATCTGGTGGTGTAATGGAAGAATTTTAATACTCAGCAGAATTGCTTCAATCAAATCAAAGGATGAAATGACAAGAAAATCATCTACAAAATAAACCGTTCCCAATGAAATAAACATTATAACTGATAAAGTGGCCACCCTATTCATTTACCTCTGAATGAACATCTACTAGCTGTTTAATTCCATGATGTATCTCCGTTTTCATCAGTGGGTGTGGATGATTGTGAATATACACTCGTTTAGGAAAGTCTTCAGATTTTGGATAGAGGGAATACTAACAAGACCACAGAATTTTCAGAATCTTGACACTCAGATCAATCAGAAATCAGTAAATACATAAAAACCGCTTCAACTTGTTAACAAATTAAATATATCGGGGACAAATATGAGGTCGAGAATCAGATCAAAGAGAGTAACAATCAAAATAACTATGCAAACAACGACAGGTTAAAGGTCATCAGTAACTATTCAAAATCAAGGTCAACAGGACTAGCCATCGATTGTATATAGAAAAATTCAAGTACCTCACTTCTCGTGCTGTTACGGATATGAGGGCTGGTGTCACTTCCCGGCTGTCCACACCGTGGAAGGGTATTTCTTGAGGAACCTGAAAAGGAATTTGGATTAATGTCGGTCTTAACGGCCTGGGAGTGTGACCGAAGAGCCCATGGGACAACTGCTTGAGGTCGGTCGCGCACGGCCTTTTTGTGGGAGGTTTTTGACATGGTAGCACCGTTCTTCAAATGGCCTTACCGCCGGAGACGGAAATCCGTGAGGTAAGGTGAGGTGTGACATTTTTAGGGTCAACCTTTTCTAACCCCCTCCTTTCTTGTGAGAAGACAGCATCTCTGTAGATGCTGGTTGTCCGGGGGAAACACCTTACTGCCGTCACACCCCTCTACAGTCAGCAGTACGACTTCGCCCTCAGACCTTGAGTTGCTGCTTTTAGTCTTACCGTTCTCCTTTCGACCTGCCTGGCATGGTAGAACCTACATGAACATATGTTCAAGTCAATATAGCTCGGTTGGGTCATCACGATAGGCAAGTCCGACCATCGCATCAAGGTAGCAGCTACGGTCGGGACCTCACTTATACCGGAAGTTTGCTCTGATGATGATGTTTGGAAGAATAATCAAAGCTCCACGATTAAACACTCCAGCTCAGTGAACGAAACTCAACCACATGTTATATAGTGTAAATGCTAAGATTACCAACATACATAACATCAATATGAGTTGATTAGATGAAAAGCTTGACAATAAATTCGTTACACAAAGGATCCCTTGTTTGAAGTATATATACCTTTAATATTCCTACAAAATACAAAATTATATCTCCATATATATTTATATATTTCATTATAGGAAGTATTGGCTCGTCAAGAAACAAAAGATGATACATACATATTATCCGTTTAATATTGAATTTATTCAAGTAATTTAATTTGTTCAGTTCATTTCAATGCATTAGGTATCTTAACAACGGTTATCATCATGATTTATCATATTTAATATTTTAAACATTTCATAAACAAATGAATTAATAAACTCCCTAAGAATTCATTATTATTTTTGCCTTTAAGTTGTATTATTTATTGGGCATTGGGTAAACTTAAATGAATCAAAACAACAATAACATAATCTCACTAGTTGAAATCATTAGTCATTTGAAGCTAGACCACCATGGAAAAGCTGAAAGCAATGGACGGCCGTTTCATCCTAGTAGGAGACTCCTCAGCAGTGACCATCCACGATAATAATATAACCTATTGATGAAATAAATCATTTTTGTAATTTAAATCACGAACTGGTTTTAGCTACATTATCTTTAGAAACTTGAAGGTACTAGACAATTGTTTCTTCCTAGTATAGAACTTCTTAGTAGTGAGTAATCACAACACAATGCTTCTTGATCCCAATAAGATCAGTTCGTCATTTAAACTATGAAAAATATACTATTTTCATAAATTCCCCCAACTTCATACAAATAAATAATCCTTAGAGCCTAGGAATATTAGAATCAGTAGTTTCTAAGATAAATATCAACCATAGTTGTATGAGACGAAAACCTTTATAGAGTTTAGTTTTTGTAATTTATGTTAAAGATTGAGTTTATCATTTTAAAAAATATTTTTTATAAGGTGTGATCAATATTGGTGGGGTATAGACTGAATTCAATGTATGTAGGTAATTTTTTTATTCACTTCAATTGTTAAATCATTTAAAGAGATGGTGATCTATTACATAATCAATTACGTAATTATTCATGATGGATAAGTGGAAAAACAGAGAAACTTAGTTCATAGGATGTAAGATTTCAGAATAAGTTTGTAAATTCCTTATATTACGATCCGCTTCATTTCTTACATGAGTTTGGTAGCACTTTAGTTCAGTTTATTAGTAAAGCGACCTCTTCACTTCGTGTCTACACACTTGAGTAATAGGTTGGACCTGTGTATGGGAATAATGGATATCATTATCTAAAACGGATGATCAACTGACAGAAGAGTAATAAAGACTAATACTGAAAAATTAGTAATACCGGAACGAAAAATAAATGAACTGGTAGAAATTAATTATGGACTATTATTAAATATATTCCTATTGGATAATTATTAAGTGAGTGGAATATATATACCTTTTATCATAAGCTTCCATTTGGCCTATTGGCTATTAATATACGATTTACTATTCTTAACTTATTCCCAGTTTATCAGTTACAGTATCCTACATTCACAGTTACTTCTGGCTTCATGAGGTCTGGTTTTCTCGTATATGAACCACGTATGTTTGAAATGTGATTCATGCAGACAAAGCTGAGATTGTGATCTAAACTGAATGGGCTGGACTAGGCGAGAAACCACTACATCAAGGACCAATAAGGATACAGAGTTGTTTCAAGACTGGTGGTTCTGCTTGACGTGTCACTGGTTTAGAAAAGGAACAAGGTCATATGAATTAGTATTCTGATTGGTGACTTTTTCATGTGATATTTGATGGGGCATAGGATACAACAACTTTTAGCTTATTTACTTCAACGTTCTTTCCATTTAAAATGTTACGTAAATGTTTATCTGCTTTTTTGGGTCTGTGTAGAAGTAAGAATCTTATCTATTCACATATGATGATGTTTTTTAAGGAGTTAGTCTTATAGACTTGATCTGAACTTTACTTTTGACATAAAGTCGTACGATGCAATTTTGAATCGCATATTGATGTAGATGTTTGTTTTGGAAACAAAATTATCAGAGCCACTAAGATTATTAGGCTTCTATACGGTTCTCATAAATATACAGAGTACACATTCTGTACATACTCCTCACTGAATAGTCTATCTGTTTTTTTCATTTGCACATATCTATATTTATATCCGACATTGCTGAGTAAACCTTGCTTGTATAAAAGTAAGAAAAATGACTATATAATATAGATACTATACTTACCATGTAAATATCCTACATATAGAACAGTTGATTTACTAATATCCCATCCAATTAAGAGTAATTTTGGGAAGAACATTTAGTTAGTAATATTTTTTTCGTATTCAGTATGCATTTGTAAACGGTTTTTCAATTTTTTATATCCTACATGCAACCCTTTAATATTTAACTAAATTTAGGCGGTGATAGATTTCCAGTTAATAAATGTTATATTCTAAGCATAGTAGCTAGAAGTGAAATCCAGAACACACTGGATATACCTGCATACCGGGTGTAGGTATATCCAGCTGACCAGTCCCAAATGAGATGAAACACGCCTCCTGAATTCCACTGCTAGCTACCGTCCATCTTTGTTTGTAATGCTTGTGACTTAAGTCAATATCAGGGCAATCTGTACAGGATATACATATATCAATATGAGACTAATTAATTGCAGTCCTAAAAACCAATGGGAAGATTTAAATGAACAATACAAAATGTATTGAATACTATACTTCAACAGTTGAGATCATGAGTCAATTGAAGCTAGACCACCATGGAAAACCTGGAAGCACTGAACGGTCGTTTCGTCCCAGTATGGGACTCCTCAGCAGTGCGCATCCACGACCCCGCACCCCGCGAGATCCGAACCCACGACTCATCAGTCTCGCGCCAGGCACTTAACCAACTAGACCACCGAGCCGGCATCCAACGGTGTTAATGTCTAACTTCAACGAATTCACGAAGTTGCGCCACCGTATACCATTGTCTTCAGTGAGCTGATATCTCACAGTAGACCTGGTTGAACTCCTCATGTCACGGCTTCTCACTAAAACTCCAGGAAATACCTCTTGAAGCCAGTCACCAGTGAGCATATGTTAGTTAGTATCAGAAGGGGTTTTGCGGAGATTGTAGTAATTTCAACAGTTGGGACTGATAGGTCCTGAGTTCGAATCCCGCAAGGCGGGGTCATGAATGCGCATTGCTGAGGAGTCCCACAATAGGACGAAACGGCAGTTCAGTGCTTCCAGGTTTTCCATGGTGGTCTAGCTTCAATTGGATCATGATCTCAACTGTTGAAATTACTATAATCTCCACAGAACCCCTTCTGAATATTATATTGTTATTTGCAGTTATTTAATAGATATCCTTGTTGAAAATATAACTTAAAATGTTTGTTCCGTTGAAAGATTATAAATAACATTTAAACAGTATGTGATAAATTCAGTATTAAAGGTTGTGTAACGGATAGGAATAAAAAAACATCAAACAATTATGATCTTTAATCTGTAGAGCATAGTACAAAATAATTTAGTAAAGTATTTAGTTTATTTAAAGATGCTTTTCGATAATGTAATAAGAAGACAAAAATAATCAGAACTATGTGATGGTATATTAGAGCAATAGATTTCAAACAATCTGATCTGATCTGTACTTGTTAAGAACATTTATATTATAAAAAATAAAGGATAACTAGACTGGAAATGGGGGTAAGAAGTGACAAGGGTAATAATAATTTTAAAAAATAATGTGTGATCAGATTGTTCGAAATATATTCCGCTAATATACCATCACATAGTTCTGATTATTTTTGTCTTCTTATTACATTATCGAAATTAAATGCTTTAAAGATGTTTGTTTCGAAAATGTTCTACTAGAATAAACAATGAGAAGATTTATGCATTATTCACTGTGTTCATTGTGTGTAAATATATTCACTTAAGTTTCTGAGTATATAATCTGTCTAGAATTTAACTCTTTAATTTGAGTAGAGATGACAATGAATATATCGATGGTATTAGTAGTGAATAGTATTTTCATCCATGAGTGTCGAATTTCATATATTCGATCGTTTTGATGGTAAGAGTTTGAGTTCCTCCATGTTTTTAAGCTAATGTTTCATTCAATGTTTGTTTTTTCCCCTAATTAGATTTTATTTACTCGTTAAATGAACATTATGTTTCAAATACATTGTATATTCATGAATTCAAAAACTATCTTTACTTTCATATAGTTATACAATAACAATTATAGTTAAACGTTCATAGTTGTTCCTTGTCAAATATTACCATTGAACTTGGTAAGTCAAATCGAATCACTATGAATTGGAACTAATTCTATTTATTACAATTTACTGATGTAAATATATTTAACCATCTGGCTTTAGATGGTTGTACATACTCAGTAAAAATAAATGTATTTGTTATATCTGTTATACTGACGGATGAACTAAGGAAGGTAAAAATGAATTTGTGAACAATGATAGGAAAATCGTTGACAATAAACAATCGATAGAACAAAATGTTAGCTCCTCATGAAGAAGTTTTTTGGATACTTCTTTCTGAAGTTTGTACTGAAAATGGTTTCTAGAAATTAAACTATTTAGCACAAAGACCTCAACTTCATCCAATTCTTCCTTATAAACTATAAATTTCCCCCCATTTTATTTGTAGTGGATTATTTTTGAAACGATTCCTTGGACTACTTATATCACTCGCCCTGATAACTGTTATTGAATAAATCTCAACAGTGTATAAATTGCAGCAGGCAACACGAAGCACCGACTACAGATTATTGTTGAATAACACAGATCACTAGGTCACAAGTACACCAAGAGAATTCGAGCAGAAATGTTAATGCGAGCGAGTGAATACATATGTGAATTAAGAATCGGATAAAGAATAGAATGAAAAGACCAATAAATGAATAAGATCTAAATACACATAAATGAGAAAGCGAACGATTCATCGAGCGATTAAAGCAACAAACATTTAAACAAATTACATGGGATATGTGCGTAGGCTGTCACATGTGATCAAGCGTACATGTTCATACGGACATGGTAATAATACCAAAATATACAAATTGTTACTGCACGAACAATACTATCTGTTAGATAAGTCTATTGAAGGACTTAACAAAATTAAACGTAAACAAATCGAAGTGTACGATGCGTGTTACATATATTTCTCCTTGTACATCTAGATTGTATACATGAGCTTAGAAAAAATAAAATCCCTTTCAAAGATAATTTAATAAGGGTAAAGCAACAACATATTATATATTTCAATTATAAAATGAATAGAATTCATATACCCCAAACTTACTTCATTACTTCCGAATCTAAGCTTTTTATAGATTTTATGCCATAGATGTCAATGAGGTTTTAAGTTTACTTGCTCACTGTGAAAGTGGTGTAGATTATCTTTGATAGTTGAGGATTGGGCTCAGTTTAAATATCATTGTGTAACTCAAATGTTATTTCATAAAACTTAACAGAGTTTTACTACAAAAGTGAATGTAATTACAACGAAACAAGCTCATTGTGTTATTAAAGAAAGAAATGAAAACAGCATTCAGAAAAAATTCGTGTCACTAGGTGAAGTTTATAAAATCCTATAATAGTCTATTGAAAAATAAAGAAAAGATCATATCATAAAGTGCATGGAAACTTCAAATGTTATTGTCATAATTGAATAACAGATTAAACAAACTACCTTTGCACATAAAGGTTAACTTTGAACTTCTGAATCTCTGAAGCCTTTCTTGATCTGTGATTCCTTTTGAGCTTGATTATTTAACCATATAGATGATTTTGAAAGATACTTTTAAAGAGGCAGTTTGATTAGAATTTCAAACATATTCCAAAATTAAATTGTTGATTATTTTGAATTCCCCTTTCGAAAGGTAAACAGGTTAATCCTAAGAGATCTGTTTAGAAGTATATCGAAAACTCTCCTAACTAATAACAATTATATTAAAAATATATTCTATATACACTTGAAACTGTTGTCAACTTCAAAATTATTCTAATGCAGTTTATGTAAAAAACATTTGAACATAATATATTTTACAAGAGGATGAAAAAAACAGTACACATACTGATTGTAACTTCTTCATTGTTAGCATGAACAACGGCTAGATATGCACTCTACTAAATCACAAAAGAAATTATCCGCTTCATTCAAAAAACCCTCTCTATTCAAATAGTCCATGAATTGAAATATAGATTATAATTGCTTTTCAGTTAGAACTAAATAAGTGACTTTATTACGACCATTTCATTACTAATTAATAGAAAAAATAAATCCGTAAATAAAAGTTTATTGGTAGAGTGGGGTTTATTGAGACTATAGAATTTTCATATTTTAAATCTTTAGTTGATTGGTGTCTAGTTTCAAGACGTGACTCCTGGAATTCTGTACAGAAGCTATGACCGGTAGAGTTCAAGCATATCATGTGTGGAATAAATGTCTACCCCAGGATTTAAAAGGTGGCCGCCTGATTTCATAAGCTGATTGGAATTATACATGTACACCATTGAATACGAGTTCAATGATTTTGAAGTTAAGCATTTCAGGGCTAAACCAAAAGTTCTGAGTTCGATCCACAGTAATATAGTTATTTGTTCGGCAATGAAACAAAAATGATCAACTATTCGAGATTTCATTACTAAAGTTAACAGTGAATGAGCAAACAAAAAATTATCTGGTAAAGAAAGAAGAAACGACTCGAGCGAAGAAGTTTCTTTTCAATTAGTTTTTCATCATGACTCTACACTAATAACGAAATAATACTCATCGAGTGGATAAGTTACATAACAATTATATAATCACATATCGACTATAAACTAACATTGAGTAATTGAAAGAAAGAGGATTAATTATAATCAAAGTATCAGAAGGGGTTTTGTGGATATTTTAGTAATATTTTAATAGTTGAGATCATGAGTCAATTGAAGCTAGACCACCATACAAAACCTGGAAGCATCGGACGGCCGTTTCGTCCTATTATGGGACTCCTCAGTAGTGCGTATCCACGATCCCGCCTCGAGAGATCAAAGTAATTATTCGAAAATCAAGCAGTTACCACGTTGCATAATATATAAAATGGGAAGAAGGAACTACAAAATATTTTGATGAATGGTCAGTAGTATAGTAGTTATGTAAGAAACAAAAGACGAATGTTGAGAATAAGTAAAACACAAAAAGTACAAAAAAATGGAAGAAATACGAAAATAGATTATCAAAGTTCTGCTACAAACTCCCCTATACCAATGGCCGAAGTTGCAAGAGTGGTCGTACAAACTTCTTTCGGATGCAAAGGTTTGATTTGTGAACATGAATTGCAATAGCTTTAGCAATGTGCAATCTCACATTAGAGTTCTGTCTAATCAAAATGAAGTTGTATAGTGTATTTGAGAATAAGTTTCAAAATAAACGTAAGTGCAATAGATTACAAATTAAGTCTAAGATTTTCAATAACCTACATATTATTCAAAATAATATGTATTAAGTCTAGAAAAATTAGCTAATTTTTTCATAAAACGACAGAATTGAACCAACCTGTGAGTTTTATGATATTTGAATCATAGCTAATAATAAATTACAAAGTATTTCGTCTTGTTTGGGACTAGTTATCTGAATTCCTGTCTATATTACTGTTTATATTCATTTCAAAACTCGAATCAGGATGGATCAAAATTTTATTATGATCATTAACAACGCAATAATACAAAGATAGATAGTGGCTATCAGCAGAATCCAGGAAGCGCGTTTCGTTTTATTCGGGACTCGTCTGCTGGATATACATGCATCCTGGAGTTGTTGTTCACTCCGGGACTCGAACCCAGTACGTCCTCTTCAAACACCAAATGCACATATGCCAGCAGGAGACTGATCAATTGTAGTCCTAAATAACAATGGGAAGATACAAGTAAAACAATGCCAACTCTCGGATGCAGGTACATTCGGCTGATGAGTCTCAAGTAGGACGAGACGTACGCCTGAATTCCTTTTCTGGCCACCATCCATCTTTGCTTAAAAAGCTTGTGACTTAAGGCCATATCGAGGCAATCCTCACATGATAAACATGTGCCAACATGAGACTGATCAACTGGAGTCCTATATAACAGTGGGGAGATACAAGTAAAACAACACCAAGGGAATAATACAAATGTTTAAAAATAACTCATGAGTAGTATGCAATAATATTCCGGTCAATGACAAACACCATAAATTATTATTGTAGTCCTAATTTATCTGTAATTAGCTGGAGACATTCTTACTTTTATTATTAAACTTAAAAGTTTACGCTTGAAGCTTTCCTTTACTGGTAAATCTTTTATTAAGTCTTTTATTTTCATAGGTTAGAAACAACCAAGTCAAACATATCTTTGTACAACAATGTGAACAGATGAATCCTTACAAATTGTATATATTGTCCTTATAGGTGACGTAGAGTCCTATTTACGGAACAACTAGTCAACTGGAAAAAATAAACAAAACAAACTTTCCAACTTTAAAATGAACATCACTATGCTCGTTTACATAATTTGAAGTAACAATACAATACTTGTGCATTATGATAATCAAACAAAAATCCAATGTGATTACACTTAATTAAAATAATTGAAGGCAAATAACATTGTTCATAATAAAATAAATATAATTTAAATATAGAGACTTAAGATTAAATGATACATGTCAATTTGTTTAGTATAATTTCTATACTGATATACTTTGGTAGCTCATTGTCTATTTTGTTTATTTGCCATAGTAACAAACATAGATGACTTCTTATGTCGTAAATTAGTGCCGAAATTCTTCAATGAAAAGTGGCCACTTGATTTCATAAATTGATTAAAGTCATACATACACACACACACTATATATATCCTGAACTTTGTACAAACTTCAATATTACTTAAAACTGTTAGAACGATTATGTAGTTGTTAAAAACAGCCACTTAGTATAAGTAGCTGCTTATCCTTTAAGAGCTATCATAAACTTTTAATGTAATACATTTTGATAATATATAAATTTAATCATTTGATAATAATTTTTATAATTACTGATTGACATATTGTTAAATCTATCGATTCATCTAATTACACAATTGAGATAGGCGCGAAATAGAGATTTATCTAAAAAAGCGGTTCTTTATTGAGTAATATACATAGATTAGCTACAAACCTCAATTTGTGAGGTATCTGTGGAGTTTGCCATGTCTGTAAGTCTGAAATGAAAAAAAGGCTTCTTGGAACAATAATATACAGAATAATTACAATATACGATAATGCAAATAACAGCTGATAACTGTGTCTAAACTTGATAATAGTTTATGGCATGGGAAGAACGCCAGAGCCTTTCGAAGCTGCTCGCCTTTTCGTTTCAACAACCTTGAACGGCCTGACAAGACGCGGTCATTCCGTATTTCAATTGTCGTAGGTTTGTTGGGTTGCATGTGTAACAAGTTTTCTCATATTTAGGTCATCTTTTGCTGTATTAAAAAGCACAAAGTAATTGCCAAAAGCAATAATTTAGTGTTCTCTGTTTTGTAGTGTACATGTTGGCTCTGTTGTTGCTTTATAACTTGATCCGTGATCTCAACTGCTGTAGTAAACCTCAACGAAATGTCAAGTCACCGGCAAATCTTAAATATTTGTAGTACTTCCTTGGGTTATTATTGTTTCAAAGAATAACTTTTTTATATTAATGATTTTTGTTTGTATTGCTTCATGCTCAAGTGACATTTCAGTGGACATTAGAGATGCTTTTCAAAGTATGTTACTGAATAAGCATTTCGCATGCTGGGATGACTTTGATAGCGCGCTAAAAGAGTTCCAAAAGTATGGATGAATCATTTTATCCCTTCTCAGACTACCCATGCTCATTACATTCACACGGAAAGCAAGTTGCTGAAGGATGTCAGGTTTAAATAACTGTTTGTTGCGTTTCACTGTACATTTGATCATAAGCGTAATTGGGAATGTTTGAAAGTGAATCAAAAACCGTAAGAACTTTAACTAATATCTTACGTTGAAGGTCTAAATTCCTTGATTGCCAGTCAAAGTTCCGTGTAAGACTGAAGGAGCAAGGATATGTCATCAAATCCTACAAGGTGCTTCGCAATCATCCATGTAGTAGTTTATGGATGGTTTGTGATCCATGGATAAGAAGATTGTCGTCGGAAGAGAAAGAGAATTTGAAGCAAGTCATTTTGCAGTCCCGGTCAACAGATGAAGTTATAGAAAGTGTCAAGGAGAAAACTGGTAAGGTAGTCACCGCTGCTGATGTAAAGACTATGAAAACTAAACTCTCCACAGGTAAGTGTATAAAAATATATTTCAGGTTGTACTCGAAAGCAGGTAATGGATTTACTGTGACAAAAAGGTGAAGTGAGGGAGCATTTAGAAAATGGATATGTAACGAGAATATGTTCCAGTAGTTATGACCAAATACACTTGCGCAATAAATATCCAGAATTTGCGTGTATTGATTCTATTTATAATACCAATAATAAGATGTGATTATGCTTTTCGTTGTACTACACTTTGTAGATATTCCCTATTCCAGTTTGTTGTGACGGATAATTTTGGTCGAGGACGTTCTGTAATGTTTACTTGGACACGAAAGGAAATGCGTGCAGATGTAAAGTGGATTCTTGACAAATTCAAAGAAATCATGGGAACAACTACACGAACGGAAACATTTGTTATGGACTGCGAACGAGCAGAAAGCGCGACTGTCCGTATCACACACGGTCATGCAAACATTATTTTGTGCGCCTTTCACGTATGTCGCGCTTTCTGCAAAAAGGTACACTAATGGTTGTTTACATAAAATTGCCCTTAGGCACACGACAAAATATTGAGAACGTACGTAAGTCGATTGGTAACCGCAGAAAAGTTTGGAAGGTATTTTTTAAAATGTATTTATTCAGTAGATTTAACCAATATTTCAGAATAATTAACCAGAGAGACAGACGAATAGGCCAGTATCTATCTCGCTTTTGGATGTCGCGTAAAAGTATGTGGGCGCTTGCGTTTTATAGCAGTCTTCTAACTCTGGGCAACAACACGAATAATAGTGTTGAGTCGCTCAACTGCCAAATAAAAAGATATGTACGCAAAATGGACAGTTTGCACAAATGTATATACAAGGTTTTCAAATGGATTACAATAACATCGTCTAGAAGAAGTGTTGAAGATACAATAATGGCCGGAAGAACCTGTAAATATGATGTTCCACAGCGCATACTTCCGTCGCTAAACATGCTGACGCCCTTTGCACGTTTAAAAGTCTTATACGAACTGAAGAAAATGCGTTTTGCCTACGTGGAATCTGAAAACGGTGACTGGTTGTTTACGGTTGACTGCGGACAGCATTATGAAGTGGATGTAAGCACTTGTGAATGCAATTGTAGAATATTTGTTACGTGTCGATATCCTTTTCGAAAAGGCATTTGATAGCGTGGACAGAACAACACTATGGAAACTTCTTCGACACTACGGCGTGCCTCAGAAGACAGTCAATATCATACAGAACTCATATGATGGATTACACTGCAAAATTGTGCATGGAAGACAGTTGACAAAGTCGTTCGAAGTGAAGACCGGTATCAGGCAAGGTTGCTTACTCTCACCCTTTCTCTTTCTCCTGGTGATCGACTGGATCATGAAGACGCCAACGTCTGAAGGGAAGCACGGGATACAATGGACATCTAGGATACAATTGGACGATCTAGACTTCGCTGATGATCTGGCCCTTCTATCCCAAACGCAACAACAAATGCAGGAGAAGACGAATAGTGTGGCAGCAGCCTCAGCAGCAGTAGGTCTCAATATACACAAAGGGAAAAACAGGATTCTCCGATACAACACAGCATGCACCAATCCAATCACACTTGACGGAGAAGATTCGGAAGATGTAAAAACCTTTACATATTTGGGCAGCATCATTGATGAACAGGGTGGTTGTGATGCAGATGTGAAGGCGCGGATCGGCAAAGCAAGAGCAGCATATTTACAAGTGAGGAACATCTGGAACTCAAAACATCTGTCAACCAACACCAAAGTCATGATTTTCAATACAAATGTCAAGACAGTTCTACTGTATGGGGCAGAAACCTGGAGAACTACGAAAGCCATCATCCAGAAAATACAGGTGTTTATTAACAGTTGTCTACGCAAAATACTTCAGATCCGATGGCCGGGCACCATTAGCAACAACCAACTGTGGGAGAGAACGAACCAGATCCCAGCGGAGGAAGAAATCAAGAAGAAGCGCTGATAGGACACACATTGAGGAAAGCACCCAACTGCGTCACAAGACAAGCCCTCACATGGAATCCTGAAGGCCAAAGGAAAAGAGGAAGACCAAAGAACACATTACGCCGGGAAATGAAAGTAGACATGAGAAAAATGAACAAGAATTGGGTGGGACTAGATAAGAAGGTCCAGGACAGAGTGGGTTGGAGAATTGTGGTCGGCGGCCTATGCTCCATTGGGAGTAACAGGCGTAAGTCAGCAAGTAAGTCGATTTCCTTGCCGCCATATGCTACTTGCATATGTTAAAAGACGAACTATTACAGGTAGGCTTTATTAATTATAAAATATAAACTGTATAGCTCATCAACTTCTTAGGCATTGCAGCAGATGGAAGTTACATATTACGCAGAACTTCCATAATAACACAACAATTGCATCACCGAGACGGAGTGATGAGTACATAAGGATTCTACGACTCCAAAGAATCTATATGCATTACATCATTGAGAAATATGGTGAATGTTTCGCGACGGAAGTTGAGAAAAAAGTCAACAATTATTATTTAGGAATTATCAATAACTTGTAAACTTGTTTTTATGCCTCAGTATTAATGATGATTCAATAAACTTTTGCATAATTCTCATTTTCCTCTTATTCCTACTTTCATGGGGATGAGTACCAATAATATTCACAAGTAAGTGTCTGTAAGAATTAAGAAGGCATAAGTGACGCTACTTCCACGTAAGGTCTTACAGGTTAGGCACCCACATGACATATTTACCGTCGTCGGATTACGTTTATTATCAAATTAGTATCAGTACCAATGTAGACTATAATTTCATGCGATTAGTTCTGCTTATGAATTTAAATAAAACCAGAAAAAAATATTGATGCAGAATAGTATGTATTCATTATATTTCGTGGTTTCTCGTCAGCTGCTTACAACCAAATATGTATTAGAATTTAATGTTGAGGTATGAAACAGTTGACATAACTGAATGTAAGGAATTGGAATAACATAGGTTATCAATAATAACTATATACATATGTATATATGCAATAACCGGTCAGAGGTTATTTGTTGTTAGAATCGAGGAAACATTAAGGATGGGTGGTGTAATAATCGAGTAGAGTTCAGAAACAGATAAGATAAGTGTTGTGAAAATTTTATAGGTAATAAATGATTCGTGGATTTAAAAACTGATGAGTTGGGTTACGTAATAATTGAATAGAATTTGAAGAGTTTACATAATTGAAGAGGATCAAGTGAGCGGGTGTAAGTGACAGTGTGGTTTAAGAAATCGGTAACTAAATATGAAAAAATAAAATGAAATATTACGTAACCCATCTTATTGCTTTTTCAATTCCATGAATCCACGAATTATAATGAATTCACATTATTCTGCATCAATATTTGTTCTAGTGTTATTTAGACTAATTATACATACACGATTTATAATGTAAAACACTGAGTATAGTTGTTATATTTATTTTTAATTAATTCATTAGGTGAATGAAAATGTGAGTAGGCAATATAAAACACAGTTATCGTGAACTTGTAAACTGGTTTTCCAAAAGATCTTCCATAGTCACTAATTCCATAACTTGTTCACCGGCTTAGACTTTATCACAAAGCTTTGAGGACCTTAATAGCTTCATATAATTCAGAAAAAACAACAAATCAGTCGTGAAACAAAAAAACAAACTTAGTTATCAGTATCACATTTAATAAGTGATTTCGGATTCCGTTAATAGAAATTCATTGATTATCCTTACAACAGACACATCAGAAATTAGTGTTAATTACAATTCGGTTCAGTTACTATGCTCACAACAAACAGGCATCGTGCGACTTATGACGAAAATGTGACTGACTAATGTGGCAGTTATAGTTATTTTATGCACAGTTTCTTGATTCAACCTACATTTTACAAACAGCTATGAACATCCAAGTTCAACACCACCATAATTAAGGACGTGAATGAAATGCAATAGGAATGCAGTGCAGTAGGATTTCAAGAATTAACTCATTAATACTTGTTATTTGATTCTAGTTCTTCTAGGGTTGTGTCGTATCGTACACTGACAGCTTCAAATCCCCATCATATAACTATGAACGACTCACTATGATAGTAGTTTGCTTTATACCATTTTTATGATGCCAATCGCTTACGTTAATTGCTTCAACCTACAGTTTACAAACAGCTACCAATATCCACTTTCAACACCGCCATATTTAAGGACCTGAATTATATGTAAAAGTTCTTAACGCTCATTTTCCCATAAAACTCTGATTATGGTCTATTTTTGACTTCATAAACGGTGAATTTCACTAGCCTAAACATTCACACAGTTTGTCAACAACAAGCATGTCAAACTACTAATAAACTGCAATAAATTTCATGTAACAAGCAAAAACATTATGAAAATTATTGTGAGACGGAAAGAAAACTGGTTATACCTGATAAATAACGACATCCCAAAATCCTCGATTATACGTTACATGCGCGCGAAAACCCATGGCGTAACAGCCTGACTGTGCCTACTTTTGTAGCACGTACTATTAGCGTTTACTTGCAAGCAGGAGAGATCTGAAACACAACACAACAGTCAGGATCGGTAAATACCACTGAATTAAGAACACGGCGTACTGGCACAACAGAGATATATTTAAAAGTTGAATGACGCGGTTCGAGTACAAAAGAGGAAGCTTATTACAAAATGGGTGTATTCATTGTTCTGCTGGTTCAGCTTGCTCAAGACTTGTTCCTCTTCTTCCAGTACGTTTACTTTTTGTTGCCCTGAAATGTGGAAAACAAACCCACATTAGTAACGTCACATGTAATGATTTTTAATACTGTTACAGTTTATCAACAAGCAAAAACGGAACCAAGAGCAAACAATATGGAAACCGCTGCATTTAAACAAGAATTAAACAACCATACAAAATTGTGAATAGCTGCTAAAAGGGTTGAGAGAAAGTGATTATTATGATAAATATAATATATGTTATAAGTATATGTAAATATTTTAGAACATTACATTTGTGACACAACATACGCTAGGAATACAACTATTTACTGAATATTAATAAGTAGTATAAAACAATACACAAAAGAGTTGAAGGGGAGAGAATAAGAACTCAGAACTTAAGCAGACTTAACACATATCTTTTTGACAGATAATTCCCATTTAGTTATGAATTCCCTTTAATAGATGATTAAGGTTACACATAACTTGTACTGAATTATAGTATCATGTGAATTATATTCATGAAGATAATTTCATTTGATTGATTGGAAAACTTAAATGGAATGGTGTAAACAAACCATATATAAAACAATTGAGTTTATTCTACAATTGTTTGCACTATGAGAAAGTAGTGTGAATAAACCTGTGTAATTTTGACGTTTGAAGTTAAGAAATCAAGTTTGAGAAGTCAGTCAGTTTAGATCCTAAGTTGTCCAGAATAAATTCTAGTTCACCTTTCTCTGTTGAATAATGAACAAGTTATACATCTGTTCATTTATACTATCCCGATTCCCCTGCTCATAGATCCTAAAACATACACATCCTTCAAAATTATTCCTACTCTGATTTAAAGGGAACTAACTTTCAAAATGAATCATTAGTGGGAGTTTGATTTCTTAAGAGCTAGGCTTCTTAGAATCTTAACTAAAGTAACTCTGAAGCCCTGCTAATTTTCGATGGTTAGATGGAATGTAAAGATGCGACAAGTATTCGGAAATTGGCAACGCCTTGTTAATCGAAGCATGCTAACCCAGTCAAATCGGAAACCGGAAGTGAAGAGGTTCAAAGTTACATATACCTCTAAAAGCGCTTGATCTGAGCTGGCTAACGCTTGTGGGAAATGCGTAGAACGACGTACTCACTCGTGATCTGGTGTGGATGAGTGACCGAGTGCCTTCAGCTAGGTGAGTCCATTAAAACTAATGAGGTCAGCATCGAATTTCGAAGAGTTACAGAACTATGTCTTTCGGGTAGGTATCATTACCAAGGTTTAGCTTGATGATTTCGAACAAACTGAGCATTGGGTAGATTGCTATATATATAAACAATATATTTGTAATATACCAATTAGTAGAAAGCTTAGATTGTTTGACATATCGTGACTCAGCGTAAGTCACATCTTCAGAGGATAAATATTTCTTTTGCGGATTTATTTACTTACTTAATTAGGCTTGTTGCCCATCGTGAGGGATCATAGGCCGCCAACCAGCATTCTCCATTCAATTC